GTCCGAATCACGAAAGCAGATTTTAAAAACAGAAAAAGAATTTTATCCTTTTCAGGTGTGATCATTAAAAAGCAAAGGAGCGCGCGCTTCCAATAAAGTCCCGCGTGGGCTCCAGCTGCTGGTTTTACTGTTTCTCTGGGTAGATTCTGGGAGGAGGAACACAGAGAAGTTGAGCCGTCACAGCGGAGTGCTGGGCTGCGTTTAGGTGCGTCGGTAGGCTGACCGGCCGGACTCCCATCATCCCCGCCGCTTGATTGCCCCCAAGCACTGAGAGAGAGAGGGAGAGAGTTGGGAAAGGGGAGATAGAGAGGGAGTGGATTATCGCGAGGTTACGCCCCAATTCCCGTTTGTCTCGCTCTGTGGTGGCCGAGGGCACGCGCACTTTTGTAAGCAGAGACACGCAGAAAGTCCACGCATGAGAGTAACGGCTAAGATGTATTAATGCAGTTGATCAGACCTCTGTACACCTGACAGTTCATGATGTGTAGCACTAGAAGTGTGCTGTGTAATTCTAACTGAAATATACTTTATGCTAAAAAATGAAATAAAAAATATTACGATAAAGACTTTTTTACATACATGTGCCCCAAACACCGCACACTTTACAGAAATTTATATTAATCATTCACAACATGAAGTCAGAGTCCATGACTTTCATTGTCTTATGCACTGTAAAAAAAAACATGTTTCCTTATAAAATAGAATTCTGCCTGTGCTGCCCAAATAAAAAAGCCAAACATAGTTTCAGTCCTACACACTTTATGTTTCATTTCTTGTGACCCATAGACCAACTTTATCAACATTTATCAACAATGACTACCTTGAACATCAACACTTCCCAGGAGTCTCGGTCCCGGTGATCTGTTAAACCTGCCAAACCTGCAAGTATAGAGTTTACATTTTGTGTTAGGAGAGAGAGAGCCTGCTTTTGTGCTCCATACACCGGATCATTTACAGGAACTCTGGTTTTATCTCATTTATTTAGTAAATCCTGGTATTATGATCACAGCTTGTCAGTCACTGCAGTGTATTGACATCGATTGATCCATTCCTGCAGTTCTGGGTCACGGGGGGTTGGGCCTAGGCAGAGATGCCCAGCTCTCCTCCTCCCCTGCCATCTCCACGTTGGGAAGGTGAGGATAGGAACATAGATCGATCCATAATTCCACAGTTTCACTGTCACACAGCTCTCTCATCACCACAGCGTTACAGCGCCCTCATTATTGTCTATGTCACACCAGTCCACCTGAAAATCTCCAGCTCTTTCCTTCACTCACAAAAAGATTTAACTCCTTCCCAACCTGGACTGGGCACTCCACTGTTTTTTGACTGAGAACTTTGGCCTTAGATTTGGAGGTGGTAGCTCACATTGATGTTGGCTGTCCCTTTAATGTATTTGCTGCAAAGTCATGTCTCAATCAGCAGTATCCTTCAGTCCAACTGTTATCTTCTCAATCACTCACTGTGAAGTTAAGCAAAGTTTAATTCAGCGTCACTAATTCTTATTATACACAAGTCGCTGAATTGCGTTAATAATCCACAGTCACTGGTCAGCTCATCACTGCTCGCGTATTCCTGTGTGGATTCACTGTAAAGCTGCTCTCAGCCACACAAACACAAGGAAACACATCACACACCCACAAGACTCTAAAGACAGCATCTCTAAAGCATGATCACAACACGCTAAAATCAAGGATTTAAAGTTAAACACGACCGTTTCAAACACACATGTGTGACTACACTGCCCAGAATGCACGAGTTGGATTGTAGGTTTTTCCTTGTCTGCTGTGAGAGATTGATGCGAGATCATAAAATCATGGCTGCATGTAGTTGTTTCATTCAATGATCCAACAAGGTTATTACAGCAAAGTAAAACTAACAACAAGAACTCAGTATTGTCCTTATAAAACTAACGTTAAGGTTAAGTTTGTCAGCACAACTGGCCTGAGGAGACTGTTGTTCATCATTTTATTTCATGTACTTGTAATATCTGCTCTAAACATCCAAAACGTTTCCCTGCACAAAACCACTGACATTATAAAAACTAAGGAGTAAAACTATCACTGAGGGATTTGGAAAAGTAGATTGAAACTAAATATTTTACAACAGTAACAACCAAAGAACACAACTTAATGTTTTCAATGTAATTTATAATATTTTTAAACATGTTCTGGAAGTTGATCTCTGCCAACAGTAAAAGCAGGGGAAAAGAAAAAACAACAAAAATGTTTCATTTAAGAAAAAAGAGAAATTAATAATAAAGACAAAAAATTGTAGCAACAGAATAAACATAAATAATCTAAAAACAATATAATGATAAATGAATAGAAACTCCAAAAAACATCAACTTTAATCAGCAAAATGAAGATGATTGAGTCACATCATCGCTTCATGATAGCAGTCCAACATTTATTTATTTATTTGCGATTTTTTCCCCAATCCGATAACTTTGAGTCCACTTCTCAGCAGGATCCATTATTTCCCAGCATGCCGCCTGTTAGCAGCAAGCCCACAGTGTGAAGCGTATCACAGTCTCCCCCTGGTGTGTGTTATCACTTACTGTCATCACAGCAGTTAGTAAGAGATGCTGCACGCATATTTTACATTTAATCATGTTTCACTAGAGATGAAAGTGAGCACGAAGTATTTAAAATAAGGTCGGCCGTAAACATCTGCAGCTGTGATATTAATATAATATAACACTGTGGTGAAGGAGGCAAGAAACGAATCCAGCACCCTTTCTACATTTACACCAGAACTATAGACGCCACATTTTTGCAGTTCTTCAGACAGGAAAATGAATCTCCGCTTAACTCTCTGTAAAAGTCCTCGAGCGTCACTGATCAGTTCTCACTGCGAACAACTTTTCACTTCTTTTACAGATTATATTTCACTGGTTTCAGAAACACAGAAAAAGCTCTGAGCAGAGGACCAATCACAGGAGTCCAAGGCTGCAGGTCACAGGTTTGACTCCCACAGCTCCAGACGCCTGACCTGCTGTCGTTTCTTTCACTTTTAGGCTTCAGTTTGTGTTTGATTGGAACCAGGAACCAGGGTTCTTGTTGTTTTTTGTACTGCAGTGACATGAATACAGGTGAGGAGATGCCTCCTGTTTGGCTAAATATTAAACTACAGCGCCCTCTTTGGGTGAAAGGATAGAGATGCATATTGAGAGCTTTTCCATCAGAATTAGCTTGATTGACCAAGTATGTGTCAGGATGCGAGGAATATGGCTCCGGCTATTTCTTGGCCCTCAGTCTACAAAACAGAAAAATGACATCAGCATAACAACAAGACACACAGCATGTTTATGGTGCAGAGTGCAAAGATGCTGGATTAAATAAAGGATGCAAAAGTAGTTACTATATATACAGTAGATAGATAGATAGATAGATAGATAGATAGATAGATAGATAGATAGATAGATAGATAGATAGATAGATAGATAGATAGATAGATAGATAGATAGATAGATAGATAGATAGATATCATACTTTAAATCAGGTTTAAGAGGTTTAAGTGTTTATAAGAATCTTGAAATCGATTTATTTTATACTCAGACATGCAGATAGTTTGTTTAATTTAAAAAAGTCCTGTTATAACACAGATGTTTCTGTGCACATGCAGCATCTGGGCTTGCTTCTCTGTAAACACTGTCCTCCTCAGGGGTTCTAACCACCTCCTGATGGGTGTATCGATGTAATCCCCAGGATGAAGTGGAGCCCGTTTAGGTGCACAGGACAGATCTCCAGTCTCGTAAATGTGGATTTGCGCCAACCAGAGCATCAGTCAGACAGAAACAATCACAAAGATGTGATGTGAAAACCAGAGATAATACAAAACTATTCCCCTGTCGTATAAATGGCCACAAAGTTACGTTGAAACCAAGCACACCATTGTTTTTCTTCTGACATTACCAATAAGTGTGATGTGTCACATGGCCCTCTTCCTATTGACAAAACAAAAGTTGTATCCAAGATGGCCGACTTCTAAATGGTCACTATGGTCACCGCCCATCTTGAGGAGTTTGCCCCCTCACATATACTAATGTGCCACAAACAGGACTTTAATATCACCAACCATTCCCATGTTATTACGCTGTATCCATATAAATGGCCCACCCTGTGCACTCACTAAACCAGAGTCCGCATTCATCTATGTGTATTTGTCTCCATCTAGTGGACGACTGGATTTATTATAAACAGTTCACCCCTTTACCTTCAAGTACAGGCTAGTACACTGAGGTGAAATGAGAAGAAACACAAACTTTCTATTAAAATATTCACGGAAGAAGGAAAAACAACTCACAATTAACAACAAATAAATAAATCTCTGTGTCCAGTTACCATTCGTTCAGTTTTCAGGGTTAAGGTGGAGAGAAATTCACACAGACTGAAGTAAATAAGAAATCTCTAATCATTCTGTTATCATCTTCAGTGCCATGGAGGTCCCTGCGTGCTGGCGACACTGCATGAGAGCACAGTTATAACTGCATGCATGCTATTACATGTGTGGGATCGATTTCATTCAAACGCAACATAAAGTGAAGTAGCGTCACTTTTCACCTTATGGAAAATTTCGAGGTTTTCTTCGGAATTTTACCTCCACCTCCTGCCCCAGCCCCTTATTCATTCATTCATTCATTCATTCGTTTATTCGCTGGCCATAAACACCACTATACAATTATGAAAAGGTAAGGCGAGCCCAGTCTCTGGCTTTATCCTTCCAAATTTAATCTCGAAAACTTTGACAGTTTTTTTCCTCGTTTTTAATATGTATATATATATAAAAGTGTATATATATGAAGTAGTCATAACCCGCTATCATAAATAAATAAAGTTATTATATTTTTCACCGTCAGCTCGTTTGATTTATGTCTTGAACCTTCGGACAGGTAGAGGCTGCCTACTGTACTGGCTGAATTGTGCTCAGTACTGGAATCAGCTGTAACCGGATGTGAGTGTTTCTGTGACTTCCTGTTAGGCTGAAGGATCCTGGAAAGTGTCCGAGATTCCTGCAGCTGTGTGTCCGCCATAGACTGCAGGCCCTTCAAGCACACACGCAGTCTGCCCGCTCGTCTCCGCCGCTTTGAGACACACTTCATCCCGGCGGGTCTGATCTGAACACCGGGGAAAGTGCTGGAGCTTCATCATGGAGCTGGTCTCGGTTTATGGTCTGGGGTCTTCTAAAGGTAACCGAGCTGACGTTAGTCTGGATCCGGTGTGGCTTCAGTTCGGCTCCTTATCTCTTTCGCGGTGCTTCTTTCCTCGGTGCCTCCTGACAGTTTGACCCGACTAAGAGGAAACGAGCAGCCGAAGCACAGCAGCTGTTTTGTGGCTGGACTTAGCTTAGCCTGTTAGCAGAGGCTGAAGGTCATTGCTGACCGCTGGACTGAGTTACTGTGATAACCTGTTTCCAGCAGTCGTGCAACTCACACACTGATCACCTCAGAGAGGCATCAGAGCTGCTGCTCACATCCAAACAAACACATCACTGACATACCCAGCTCACTGCTGCAGGACAAAGGTGTGTGTGTGTGTGTGTGTTACACTGTTTACAAGATTTAGTTTGTAATTGTAACAATCAGATTATGTAAGATGTATCGATCTGTTCAGTAATATATGGTAATGGTAAATGGCCTGTATTTGTATAGCGCTTTACTTAGTCCCTAAGGACCCCAAAGCGCTTTACACTACATTCAGTCATTATTTATTTATTAACCTTTATTTAACCAGGAAGATCCCATTGAGATTAAAAACCTCTTTTTCAAGGGAGACCTGGCCAAGATAGGCAGCAGCAGATGTCTCACAGTTACAGAAATTACTCAAACACAGGCAGCAACAACACACATGCAACAATAAGTGAAAGAATACAAATAAAATAAAAAATAAAATAAAATAAAAATAAAAGTCAGTTAAAATGACAATCAATCTAATTGAAACAGTTGCATGTTATGGACTCGGCCTCAAGGATTCGTAGCTTAGATTTATCTAAACTACCCATTCACACACAGGTTATGGCAAGCTACATTGTTTTATATGTGTGTATATATATATATATATATATATATATATTCCCTTTGATGAACTCACACATTCAGAAACTGATCATTTAGTCACAAACATATACACCTCACACCTGGCAGTAAGGTAAATTACACACAGTTAACAGCCTGGTACGTCTCCATAGCTTTTGAAACTCCTGCATAATCCCAATCAGCAAGTGTTTCACTTAGGTGGTCATGATTGTGATATCCTGAGTGAATTTCAGCCGATGAAGAATACAGACATTAAATTCTTCTCCAGTGTTTCAGTGAAATGCAAACCAAGCCACACTGGATTTAAGGCCACCAGTTTCCCTAATCTTCATAAAGACTCAGGCTTCTCATAGTTTTTATAGTCGGGGTCACTGAGTCCATCTACAGTTGTTGTCTTTCATCAGTGATGCTTTTTGAAAGTACTGTGGCGTCAGTGTATGTGTTCTGTTTTAATGTGTGAGTTCTTACAGATCTGCACTGTTATGGTTAGAAAAATGGTTCATCAGCCTGTTGGAGAGCTGTGTGTGTCTGGGGTCACGCCCTCACCATTTCCTGCACAGACTTCAGAAAATGCCCGTCCTTGGTGTTGTACACCTGTGGTGGTGAAGCCATAATGGCTCTGTTGGCATCTTTGTATCACTGAAGAAGATGTTGGTATCTGTTTAATGTCATTATCCCAGGGAAATCCAGGCCTTGCTTTACTCTTCCAAACAATGCCTTAGTGCCTGGACATGTTGTGTTATGCCTTTTTTTTGGTGATAATATTCCCTTTTTTTTTCTTACCCCTAAAACAGTCTCTACTGATTCACACCGTCTTTGGGTAACATTTATGAATTTTTTGGAGGTTTTTCATATTTCATCAGGACAGGGCTGGACTGGTCTCTGGAGGCCCACCATCATCACTAATATGTATTTTTGTGTGTATGTGTATTGTGCATACACATGTTTCATTTTATTTGATTATTGATATAGAGTTAAAGTTTTAATCAGGTTGGTGCATGGTTCATGGCTAATGCTTGCTACAGCAGCCTCTTGTGAATGTGAGGGCTTTTGTTTGTTGTTGGTACTACTGTTGACGGTGCAGCTGCAAACATGTCGGTTAATTTGATGCTTTTACTTCATTTAGTTTCATTTTCTCTCTTAGCTTTTCAGCTCCATCTTTTTTTTTTTCTTTGTCCATCTGTATCAAACACTTCTTCAACACTAGTCTCTGTTCTACAAGGTGCACCGCTCTACAGGGAAGGTAGGGTGACCGGTCACGTTCAGAAATTTGATTGGGCAATCCAGTGTCAGTAATCAAAAAGGAATCAATAGGCTACTGTCGGTGCTTGTAGGGCCGATGCACAGCAGGCTTTCAGGCCAGACTGTAGCGTGTATGATTATGACAAAGAAAAAAAAATAACATCCACCAATCGGCCCACGAGTGTGTCAGCCCACTGGTCAAAGGCTAGTGTGCTACGATACCAGTCCAGCCCCGATTCAGGATGTATGAAATGCATGTCGGATGCTAACTGGTGACTCAGACGTCTCCCAGTGTTTCAGAACTAAATCAAGTAAAACTAAAAGCAGAATTTCTTTTTCATTCAGAAGCAAAATTGACATATTCCTTAAGTTCATAAAGTTATTAGTTACTATAACTTAGGACTGGTTCTTAAATAGATCAGAAATATGTAATCTGAGTATTCAAAGCACTTTCAACAACATGTCTCACACATTAATACAAACACTGGAAGCATGAGGAGCAACTTGGGATTCAGTATTTTGCCAAAGGTTGTTGGTTCGAAAAAGCCAGGGATTGAACCAACAACCTTCCAATTAGCAGATAAGCTGATCTACGTCATGCTGATAAAGTGAAATAACATTAATCGAGCTGAGAACATGTCCCCTCTAACTTCTACTTTATATTTAACCTATCTCGTTCAGTGCCTGCTATTAGTTCAGATTTTATTTTTTGATGTTAGCGGTCTGCACTCACTCTTTTCCTGACTTTTAACTTCATGATCAAACCTGTTTGGGTTCATTTGAATGAGTCGTAACTGAATTAAACTGAGTTCAAACTGATTGTTGGCTTTAAATCGGGTTTCAGTCTCCTGTTTGGTTAGAAGTGAAAATCAAGGGTAGCCTAATAAAGATCTGTTTGATCTCAGGAAAAGACGAGTCTGACAGAGGAGGAATGGAAGAAGAGGAGGAATCCGATAGAGAAGAAGAAGAGGAGTCTGACAGAGGAGGAATGGAAGAAGAGGAGGACTGTGAGCCACTGTGTGGGGATCCATCAGAGCAGGTAAGAAAAGTTTCACAGTAACATTTTATTGTTTGAACTGTCTGCTCTTGCCCTTTAAAACATATCCTCAAATCAAAATTCAATAAAGGAAAACAAATCTGAATAAAAATGGTTTAATACCTGCAGACAAACGGTTCACCTTGGACAGGTCGCCAGTCTGTGGCAGGGTTTCTAATAATCTTATTCAACCCAGGACCCAGTGTGTTCCTCCTGGTGAACGTCAGTGCCCGGCCTTAGGTGGTGAGAGCATGCAGGCATTTCCTGGAGGATGAAGGAATTGATACGACTGACTGGCTCCAACAGAGCACATCTGGGACGTTATGTTTCGTTTATGTTGCACCTCAGACTGTGCAGGCGCTGATGCCATGGGCTAGATCTTGCAGGAGTTCCCCCGGGACACCGTCCATTATCTCATTAGGAGCCTGCCCCGACACTGTCAACCATGCATACAAGCACGTGTGGTCCATACCAACTGCTGAGTACCATTCTGCATTGTCAGCAAAATGGACCAGCCTTCCACATCATTGTTTCACTTTGATTTCCAGGGTGTCTTTGAATTTAGTCCTTTGTAGGTTGATCATTTTTATTTCTATCAAATGATGTGGCATCCTTTCATTCTTAGCACATTACCCAGTCCCTGTCAGTGTCGATATGAGCAGGATTTTTTCCCCTTCGACATCTGATCTGTTTATTTATCTGAGAACTCCTAACACAACAGCAGATTCTTGAATTTATTTAAACTTCAGTAACTTAAAGACTTTGTAGTGTAAGTTTGCTCCATCTCTGCATTTCACTTACTGCCTGCTTTTTGTTTTTGTTTACTGCAGGAGGAAAAAGATGAAGATGGGTCAAAACCTGACTCCTACCAGGAAGCTGACAAGTCCTTCACAGCAACAGGAAGTGGAGATAAATCTCACAGATGTGACGTGTGTGGAAAAACCTTTGCTCGGATCGGGCATTTTAAAACACATCAGCTGATCCACACGGGAGTTAAGCAGTTCATATGTGAGCAGTGTGGAAAGTCTTTCACTCGAATGGGTCAGTTAAAAGCACATCAGGTGATCCACACGGGTATTAAACTGTTCAGCTGCGACCTGTGTGACAAGTCTTTTTATCGAATGGACAACTTAAAAGCACATCGACTTCTCCACAGTGGGCTGAAACCATACAAGTGTGATGAGTGTGGGAAGAATTTTCCCACCACAAAACATCTCAGGACCCACAAATACATCCACACAGAAGTTAGGCCATTCAGCTGTGATCAGTGTGGAAAGGCTTTTAAATTCATGGGGGAGCTAAAAAGACACCATCTCATCCACACGGGGGTTAAAGCATTCAGCTGTGATGCGTGTGGGAAGGCCTTTACCCGGATGGGCGAGTTAAAAGCTCATAAACTGATCCACACTGGAATCAAACTCTTCAGATGTGACCTGTGTGGAAAGTCTTTTATCCGGTTGGATCACTTAAAAACTCATCAGCTGATCCACACTGGAGTTAAGCTGTTCAGCTGTGACTTGTGTGGGAAGTCTTTTACTCGAATGGACAACTTAAAGACACATCAGCTCACTCACAGCGGACTTAAACCCTACAGGTGTGATCAGTGTGGGAAGGATTTCACTTGTAAGGGGAACCTGGTTACCCATCAGCGCACCCACTCTGGAAGTAAACCATATAACTGTGACTTCTGTGGAAAAGCTTTCAGCCTGCAAAAGACCCTAAGAACACACCAACGCATGCACACCGGGGAGGACGTGTACTGCTGTGAGCAGTGTGGGAAACCGTTTGTGCAGTACTCCCACTTAAAAGCCCACGAAATTACCCATACTGGAGATAGACCACACCGCTGTGACGAGTGTGGGAAAGCCTACAGACGCATTAGTGATCTGAGAGTCCACCAGAGAAACCACACTGGGGAGAGACCATACAAGTGTGACCAGTGTGAAAAGACGTTTAAGTCTTCGGATGTCCTAAAACGACACCAACAGATCCACACCAGGGAGAGGCCGTTCAAGTGCAGTCAGTGTAAGGTAAGTTTAGTTAGTGCAGTTTCAATTTGGGAATGTTCAAAACAAGAAAGTAATTAGATCTAAATAACTCAGAACACAGCCATTATTGCCTAAATAATGTGAGTACACCTCTAAGTGAAAATGTCCAAATTGTGCCCAATCCCTCCCTGGTGTCATGTGACACATTAGCTTTAAAAGGTATCAGGTGCAAATGAAAACAGGTGTTTGAATTTCATGTTATTGCTTTCATACTCTCTCATACTGGTCACTGGAAGTTTAACATGCCACATCATAGGAAAGTATTCTCTGAGGATATAAAAAAAATAATTATTACCCTACATAAAGATGGGCTAGGCCAGTGGTTCTAAAACTTTTCAGAATGAGTACCACCTCATAAAATATATGGCTCCTAAAGTACCACCAAAGTTACATTACATTAGTATAAGCATTTACCGTGTTTTAGACTTTGAAACAAAGTTGATGTCAACAGTAATACCAGCTGCCTCAAACACAATGGTGGTGTGCACTTCAGCATCGTTATTACTGTGAACTGAAATTTACTCAGCTTTAATCTTTGAACAGATATTGATGCCGGAGTTTTAGGTGTTTTGCTGAAAATCATAGTAACATAGTTTGTACTAGAGATGGACCGATCGGATATTACATATTGGTATCGGTCCGATACTGATCTAAATTACTGAATTACTAAAATTGTAATCTCATCCATTAAATATCACAAAAGCACTTCACAAAACTTGCAACATAGCGTAAGTCAGCTCATAACCGTAGCACGTCGGAGCAGCATGCGTTATGTGATAGAGCGGCTGTGGCATGTGAGACCTTTTGGTGGTCTGGTGGAGCATTTGGAGCCTCGCTACAAGGCATTTCATCTCCGAGAAAGTTGTAAGTTCATCTCTGAATGTTTGTAAAGTACGTTAAGCTTAACAACCGATATATGGAGCGACTGCCTCTTCTTCTCTCCCCCTCCCTCTCCTGTTGCTACTTCAATCATGAAACTGATTAATGATCAGCTGATCAGCTTTTCTGTCGCGAGTCCGTTTCTCTTCTTTGTTTGCTTTTTTGGCCCACTTTGTGCCAGAAAGAGGAAACCAGTGGCTGAATAACAGCAGCACGTTTAAGCTTGATAAGCTGTTGTTAGAATTTATTAGTTTCTACACCAGGATCCTTTTCCATGTAGCTGACAGCTGGCAACTGTGCAGGGGCGGGTCTAGCAAAGTTTTGTTGGGGGGCAGGTAATAATAATAATAATAATAGTTAAAATAATAATGGATTGCATTTATATAGCGCTTTTCAAGACCCTCAAAGCGCTTTACAATTCCATTATTCATTCACGCACTGGTGGAAGCAGCTACAGTTGTAGCCACAGCTGCCCTGGGGCAGACTGACAGAAGCGAGGCTGCCATATCGTGCCATCGGCCCCTCTGGCCAACACCAGTAGGCGGTAGGTGAAGTGTCTTGCCCAAGGACACAACGACAGAGACTGTCCAAGCCATTACCATTACAGTGGTAAATATTTCACACTTAAATTTTACACCAAACCAGGGCTGGACTGGGACAAAAAATCAGCCCGGGCATTTTGACTAGAGACTGGCCCACCAGGTATTATAGGAAAAACCATAAAGCCTTTGAATGAAAACAAACACTGTTGTCACAGTGATGTACACTGTCTTGTTGGTGTATATGTATCAATCTAATAAACTCAAATCTACACCATCCTCCCTATTCTGGTATTCTAAACAGTACCCAAAAGTAGACTGCTTGGTCGAGTTAACCTCCTGAACTATCTACAACACATGGTGAAAACCTGAAATTAAGACAGAGAAGACTAGAGGTGAGACATGATCATTACTGATTACTGATGACAGATTTAGATATGTCTTCATAAACCATTCATTTGCCACATCAATAAACAGCACGGCAGGGCAAAATATGTTTTCTAACATGGCAACCTTTAAAAAGTGAAAGGAGACAGAAAGACAGGTGAGAAAGAATAAAACTTAACTGACTTTTTGATGCATTTTACACACAGTACTGGTGCAGTATCTAGAAAGTGTGGGAAAATACTGGCATCATATACAGTACTTAGCTACTTCTGAATAAATTATGATGGGACCCTAAAAAAATTACTACATATAACAATGGATTTCTATACATTTTAGATTAGATGAAAACGTTTGTTGTAAGATTCAGATAATTATTTGTTAAAAGCGAGACATTTTAAATGAGAATAAGAAAGAAAAGTATTTCTTTGTGCCCCCTCTCCCTGTTAATGCCCTACCTGCCCCCCTGGCAACACTTTGCTAGACCCGCCCCTGCACAGTTACCAGCTGTCAGGTACTTAGAAAAGGATCCTGGTGTTATTTGTCTCTCAGAAACAGTTCATAACTTCAACTCATTCCTGTCACCTAAAAGGTAAACCTGTTTCTCCATCACCTGTTCAGCTCTGATGGTTCAGTAAGGACATCTCCTGGTTTCATCTTCATGTTTCCCTCTCACCACATATCCAAACCATCCTGACCAGCAGCTTTACAGCTGTGTCTCCAGCAAACATCAGCTGATACTAGAAATTAATATTAAATAAATTCTAACAACAGCTGATCAGCTTAAACGTGCTGCTGTTGTTTAGCGCGACATCCACTGGTTTCCCCGTTCTGGCACAAAGTGGGCGATAAACAAACAAGAGAGAAAAGCCGATCAGCTGATCATTGATCAGTTTCATGATTGAAGTAGAAACAGGAGAGGGAGGGGAGAGAATGAGAGGAGAAGAGACAGCTGTGCAGCAAAGACACAGAATAACTCCAGCTTTGTGTCTTTTTCATTGTAGCTGAAGTCCGGGACAAAATGTTCCTTTTCACCTCAATAAGAAACGCGTAATATTTTCTCTGAATACGAGACGATTACGTTTTTTACGGGACGGTTGGAAACTCTAATAACTAAACCTTATAAATAAAATAAGATAAAACAAGTTCAACATCTGTAACATCATAGCACCCGCCCAGCAGTATATAAACTCTGTCATGCTAGCTAGTACGCAGTACGAGTTATTGTAACTGACTGTAAAAAGTCAGCACAACGAAAATAAACTCCACCTAAACTTGGTTTATATCTGACCAGATAGACTGCAGGTCATAACTTCTTACTTGAAGTTCAGTTCACCGCCTCGGGTCTCTGCTCCTCCTGTCTTTCCGTCATCCACCTGCCAGCGTGTTGCACCTGCTGGCCTCCACCACTTGCTAATGTTATTGAATCTGTGGAAGCTCCGCAATAGCCACCACCAAACAACTGAGTTATTTTTACACATCTCCCAGCATCTGGCCAATCCACCACCTTTCAGTGTTTATACCGTCATGGGAAAAAAACGGAAAAAAACCCCAAAACAAAACCCATCGGCCCATAAAAACGAAAAATCACCATCTGCCCACCAGGCAAATGCCCGGTATGCCCGATGGCCAGTCCAGCTATGCACCAAACCCAATATTATAAAAACCCCAAAACCCAAGCACAAAAAGATTCACCACACTCTCTTAACCCGTGATCTCTCCCGGAACCTTTAAATGGTGTCTGGACCCCCGGGAAACATTTGCCCAAACATCTTGAAGAGGACACAAGCAAGAAAGGTGAGTAATCATTATCTTACAAACGCTTTTTTGCACCACTTTTATTCTTAGATTTCCCCCACACACATTTGCATTAGTTTTCCTTACTGGTAAACCTTAATCACAATCTTAATCATCATTCTTTTTTCCTCACAGACAACCACCACATTGCTTGATGAGGAGCAGCTGTGCAATATCTGAAACAAGGCTACAAACTCGTTTTAAAATTCTCAATAAATATTCAATAAATAATTAAACTTCTTGTGTGCAAATGTTTTACTGTGCAAATCCATGCTTAAAGTGCAATGCTAAATAAAGTACTTGATAAGGTGCTTTTAATAAAGTGAAAAGTGTGCTCTAAAGTGCTATACAGATAATATAAATAAATGTAGTAAGGGAGTCCTCTTCCGTACACGGTAAGTGTTTTGTTTTTTTAAAACTTGAGTATAAACTCATACAAGCAAGATATTGTTCTGTTAATTATAAAATGAACTGTACTATATATATATATAAAAATACTATATCGGTATCGGCAGATATCCAAATTTATGATATCTGTATCGGACATAAAAAAGTGGCATCGTGCCATCTCCAATTTGTATATTATATTTTCTGAATTGATTATCATCCCCTTGTCACCCTTGGAAACAAACTTTCACAGTTGACTCTGATTTGAAAGAGAGTTTAAGGCAGCAGCACTAGTCACCATTTTCCACATGTAGTTTTTTGTGCTATTTGTAGTTTTTCCTGTGGTGTTGGACTTCCTTTTTCCTTTGGCATGTAGGACAGAAGAACACTTGTAGCGCTATACTGCCCCCTTCAGTTCTGAACATCCAGAAACAATACCATCACATTTTCAGAATTTTGGGATCCAATAGTATCATAAGTATTGGTTCTGGTGACATGTCCAAGTACATCTATCAGTCACATAAAAACACTCAAACAAATATCAGTGGGTGTCTTGTGGCAGAAGTGATCTTTATTAATTCCCAGACTTACACAGTCTTTGTCTCACACACAGAGCAGTGACGGTGGACCCAGTGCTGAGCCCTGTCAGCACTACACCATCGTTAAACCGTACCAGTGTGACCAGTGTGGAAAATCCTTCAGCAGCCAAAGAACCCTACAGAGACACCAGCGTATGCACACTGGGCACAAACTGAACTACTGCAAAGAATGTGGCAGAGGCTTTCCCACACCGAGTGCATTAAAACGCCACGAACTCCTCCACAGGACTAAAAAGCACGTCTGTGACCAGTGTGGGACGTCATTCACGTTTGCCAAAGGCCTGCGACAACATAAACTAGCCCACGTTGAGGAAAGCATTCATATCCAGACACTGGAAGAAAAGCTTCTCGTACTCACGTCATCGTACACATCGTGAACACAGCTGTGCTGAAGACACCAGTAATCACAGCGTGGGAAGAGTTTCATAATCACTAATGCACTGTTTCACCGCGTGCAGCAATAATAAATTTCACAGGGCTTTAGACTCATTTTTTTGCCACGATTGCACTGGTGGCACCTTGTCTTAGGCGCACCCAAATTTTTCAACTGCATTGCTTAAAACAGGGGTGTCAAACTCAAATACACAGTGGGCCAAAATTCAAAACTGGAACAAAGTCACGGGCTAACGTTAATATTTATTGAAATATATTTATTCCTCCAGATAAAAGAATGAATCTTTTGGACTCAAACACATTTTTCTGAAAAACTGAATATGGAACAAGCAAACCTTAATACTAAACAATATATATATTAGCTGTATAATACCAGTAGGCCAGCTCTAATAGTAATTTGGTATGGCTTCGCGGGCCAAATGTAATTAGGCTGCGGGCCAGAGTTTGACACCTGTGGCTTAAAACCACAGTTTTACGTGTGCACTTTTTTGGGGGGGAAATTGCTGTCCATACAGACAATATTAACTTGTAAATGATTAACTAACAATCTTGTCAACACACAGTTCTTTAGTCAGAGCACAGTTATACAAGAAAGACGAGTTAATGATAAACTGCCTGTGCTTAAAGTCCTTTGGATGACCTGTTTGCTGCTGCCTGCCGCTGAAAGGCAGTGAGGAGAGGGGGACTTGGGCAGTGCATTTATCGCAGCATATAATGTGTTTTCTTGATACGCTGTGCTTTTTCAGAAAGCTGATTCTGATGCGTCGGGTCTGCTCTATGTTTACTTCTTTGCGTGGAATCCGTTTACCTGCTCTCAATTGCTGTTTGGTGGTTGTTGAAATTGTTTTGTGATCTTTAACCTGATATTCTGGCATTTCTGGCAAAATACTTTTATATTCATAAGTTGATTCAGGATTTAATGAATCGATATCGCTTCAGTCAAGCTACTCACCTCTCTCTAACCACCTGCACTTTCAAATGTACACACGAAGGATTACGGGAATATGTGGACTGCGGGCAATCTGAGATGTCCCGCCCCTGGCTATCTCTGATTGGTTTAGACCACAATAGAGGCATAATGTGTGTCAGTTGTTGACCACAGGGAGACTTTCAGAGTTGCGGAGAATTTTTTTTTTTTTCTTACTCGAAAAGTTGGTCGCACCAGTGAAACCTAGGATTTTTTTTTGTTGCACCATTGAAAAATTTGGTCACATTTGCGACAAAATTTGTCGCACTCTAGAGCCCTGCTTCATTATCTTCTCTATGCAAACATCAGCGTGATCATGCAGAGCAGAAGATCATTTCCAATCATCTGCAAGAACACAGGACGACACACAGTGCATCTGAAACAACAGGAAGACCTCGTCTGGTTCCCCAAACAAAGCAGGGATCAGGTTTCACACAATTCAAAATTAATTTCCTGTGATTTGTTTCAGACAAACAAATCTGCTCTGCGATCTGTTGAAGCTGCTTCTGGAGCTATATATCTCTCTCTCTATATATATATATATCTTTAATGTAAATCTTTGTACGTATTATTATAATTTTGGTTTTCTGTCTTATGTATATTACAGTGGCAAATGCTACATATACACATTAGGGCTGCCACAAACGATTATTTTGATAGTCGACTAGTCACCGATTATTTTTGCGATTAGTCGACTAATCAGATCATCATCCATTGGACGTACAGCGTACAGCTTATTGCACCAGCAGCATCTGGTCTTATATAACTATCATTAGCTTACAGCTTGAAGTGTTTGTGCTAACTAAAAATAAAGACAAGATGGTAGTTTATTAATTTTTAATGAAATTTGCAGATTGTTTCGGTGAAGTTTAATAAACTCCTTGCTTTCTAAAATATAACAGGACACCGGAGTATATTCTCCAGCGTCTCACACTTCTGATAATCAGCTGTCTGCTTGACAGTTTTAGCGGTGCAAAAACTATAACTTTAATCTCAGCCAAACCGATTTACTCAGGAACAAATAAAATACAAAAAAAGCCAAACAATAACATTTTTAAGTTATCTAAGTGACTTATATATATGTTTAACCTGACTAGCGAAAGACGGCGGTGGGTTTGAAAACGATTTGCCGGGAGTCCGGTGTTCTCACGGCTCTAGTTAGCCTAGCCCCCGGCTAGCTAACGAGCTAGTGGGTAACAGACGTCTCCGAAAATGTCGGAGCGCTTTTGAAAATATGTGGTGTCCTGATAAACTGAGCAGATATTTGAGGTTTACACAGCTACATTCTCGCCTGAAAATATGTTAAACGTTTATTTTGTGACCCAGAAAGAATAATAAGAGTAAAGTTAAAACTAACTAGCTGCCGCCATTGTTGACAGCTGCGCTATGAATTCTGGGACACAGCTTCTTCTTCTTCGGGGTTTAACGGCAGCTGGCATCCTTGTACATGCAGTGCTGCCATCTTCTGTTTCAGTCTGTTATTACACTCTTAAATCCTACTACTCATTCCTGCGTCCTTTGTGATCTTACAAAGCTTCAAACGAGGCGTCGACTACTAAATTAGTCGTCGACGATTTTAATAGTCGACATAATCGTGACTAGTCGACTAATCGTGGCAGCCCTAATACACATACTCCCTGTGAGCGAAAGGTTCAGACTTTAAACACACACAAGCTGAGTCTGTTCATCTGGCCGGGCATTTTCAGTGGGAGAAATGTTTCATCACTCATCCAAGTGATTTCTTCAGTCTGAAAACACTACGTCCAGATCTGCAGAATCAACTTCATGGGATTTTCTACCTGGATGATTGAGCATGCATCAGGACACATCTCAACCAGCCAATCATAAGAAAGCTGACTTAAATGGGGAGGAGTAAAAACAGAGCAGAACACTACAGAAGTAATATGTGTGAAAAGAAATCTATGAGAGATCGTTATGATGCCAAAGAGGCCCAAACAGCCAGACCAGGAAACAATCATGACGTCACGCTGACACGTTCATAGATTTAAAATCAGAAAGCAGCAATAATGATAATGATAGACAGCAATAATAAAGCTGGTGACACTTTTCTCATGTCTGAATTCAGATCAAAAATACATTCTGTAAATGATGGCTGGAGTGTTTCTCCAGGTGAAGCTGAAAGTCCTGATCCAGCAGCTTCAGGGCTGATGATGGTTTATGATGAGTTTTCTGTGAGGAAGATTATTCAACTTGCTTTCAAATTTCAATGCAAGGAAACTTTAGAAATGCTACAGATTATTTGCATTTTATTGTTTTTTTTCTGCACATCTATGAACCAATAAGCTTGTTTTTTTTTACTACAGACATGTCTGCTGGGTGTGTACAGCTTATGTCACCATCACTTGTGATTCCTGCTAAATGTGTTGTTCGAGTGTTGGTCGAGTCAGTGTGATGCGCATCACTTTGGACGATGGTTTGTCATATTTTTGTAAGTTTAGATGATGTAGCAGGATGGCGGGAGGTGTAAAAGTGTTGTCACACTGTTATAAATTATAGTAATAAGCTCACATTTGTGATGTTTAAATCCTGATGATCAACTTTTTGGTTTTTGAGCTGGAGACTTGGAAGGTTGAGGGTTCTTTTAAATATAAAGGAAGTATACAAATAAATGTCATTTCATTACATAAGGCAGTAACCTCTCCCAGCTTCCATCTAAAACGAGGAGCGCTGGGTTCAGACGACATCATTATAACCAATGAGGACGACTCTCACGCAAGTGTCACAAAGGATAAAAATTAGTGCTGCACCTGAGAGGCTTCACAGCTTTCTAGCAGATGGACTAGTTTGTTGGAGTTTATTTTTGCACAGGGATTTCACTTCAGTTAGGCCTACCTGTGCAGGGCGCTCATCCAGCTGTTGAGGGTTTTTTTTTCTCCTGCTCTGCTGCGCACAGCTGGAAACACTGTGAAAGTCGACCTTGAAACGGAGCAGGCGGGAAGCGTCCTACATGCAGCTTCAGACACTTCAATAAAGCTTCACTCCTCATCTTAATTATGAAGACACCTCTTCAGCATCTTTAGTTTAAAAAAAAGTCTCTTTAAAGAAAAAATATAATTGATGTTGGAGTGTGTTTATAATATTTACTTCCCTCTACATTTCTGAAACACACCTACTTTGCCTTGTTCTGTAACTTTGATGGGAAAGGTGCAACCTAAAGTTATGTTAGGGTCCTTCTTGGACTCTTGAGAGTTCTTCCCCTGAAATGGGACACAGTTTCATTCATTTCCCTCAAATTGCATGGCTTTTAGCCTCATGTCTATCATGAAAAGAGCAAGATTACAGTACATGTCATTTTCCCAGAACTTGCTGGTTAACTCACCCTCAAAGTTGTGACTCAGAGGTGCTAATTCTCATCTCTGCAGAAGTCATAGGTCATTATTTGATGAAGCCAGGAGGACCTCATCATCCACTAGAATCAAAGAACTGATCCTGAGACCACTGAAGTGTGCTGCCCCTGCACCTTTGCTCCACATTAGTGCTGTCAGCGTTAATCTCGTTAAAATGACATTAACGCCATAACTGCATCAACGCAGCAAATCTCTGTTAACAAGCTAACCGCACTAATGTGTCGACACCTTGCAGCCCCACGCCGCATTGCCGCATTAATGCAGTTATGGCGTTAACATAATTTTAACGACATTAACACTGCCAACACTACTCCACATACAAATTCTGTCCACGATCAGTGGACAAAGGGCTGAGCAAGCATTGACTGAAAGTGTCAGTGCTTGTTTGCCATTTTTGCAAACAATTCCTTTATCGATTCCAGTCGCCCCGAATGACGTCACCACGTTGCGGAGCTCAATTTACCTGGCAGGAAACACGGCGGCTCAAACGCTCAAAAGTTTGGTTATACTTTACGAGAACGGATGACAACAGGGCAACTTGCAATACTTGCAAAGTAGATATTTAATTTAGAAATAGGAGGAAACACTACGAATATGCAAAAGCATTTGCTCACAAAACACGCGATGACCTTAAATGAATGTCGTGTTTTAAATTCCGCTCCGGACTCGTGAATCTCAACCCAGCAGCAGCGGTAACGTTTGCACGTCCTCTCCCGTTAATGCGGCAGGTAAATAATCAACTAACAGTGCATATTATGTTAGTGCGATTATTATTACTTATTACAAAACCTGCCATTACTGTGCATTTAGGTGACCAGTTCTCGCTGCAGTTTACCGTTAGCGTCTCCTTTCAGGCCAGGATAGACGAATGTCACCGAGCAGTGACTAAGTT